CCACGTACAACGTCTGCCTCTTCTATAGGTTTGTCATCTTCTAGTTCTTTAGGTATATTAGCTTATCTGTGGATCTTAGATTCTGGGGCTTCCCATCATATGTCACCTAATTTATCATTTTTTATTTCATTATTGCAAGTCTTTTTGCGTCAGTTATGACTGCTGATGGTACTCTTATGCCTATAGCAAGTGTTGGTTCCGTTGATACGCATTGTTTATCTCTCAACGATGTCTACTATATTTCTAGTCTTACCTTAAATCTTGTTACTGTTGGCCAATTGTGTGAATCAGGGTATTTAGTCTTCTTTTCTTCTTCTACTTGTTATGTGCAGGATCCGTAGTCTCAGAAGCTGATTGGGATTGATCATAGGCAAGGGGAACTTTATGTTTTGGATAAGCTTATAGTACCAGAAATTGCAGCTTCTAGTATTGATTTGTCATCTTTTCGTTTGAGTCATTTATCTTCTACTTTTTATTTATGGCATTCTCACATTGGTCATGTTTCAGCATCCCGTTTAAAGTTTTTAATTTCTACTGGAGCATTAGGAAATTTGAAAACAGATTATATTTCTGATTTTAGTGGATGCAAATTAGCAAAATTTTGTGTGTTACCTTTCAATAAAAGTATTTTTATTTATGTTGCCCCATTTGATCTTATTCATTCTGATGTAAGTGGACCTTCTCCCATTACCACTAAAGGGGGTTCACGATATTATGTTTCATTTATTGATGATTACACTCATTACTGTTGGGTTTTTCTTATGTGACATCGCTCTGACTTCTTTAGTATTTTCAATACATTTAGAGCACTTGTGAAAATTCAACTTTTTGCTGTTATCAAATGTTTTCGATGTGATTTGGATGGAGAGTATACTTCTAATGCATTTTTTGATTTGCTTGCTTTTGATGGAACCATTCACCAAAGTGTTTGTACAGATACTTCCGAACAAAATGGCGTTGCCGAAGGGAAACATGGACATATCGTTGAGAAGACTTGTTCTCTTTTAGTCTCTGCATTCCCTTCCTAGTGAATTCTGAGAAGAAGCAATTCTTACTGCTACTCATTTGATTAATAAGATCTCAACGTCACATAATACAGGTTTGTCTCCTTTTGAAAAGTTGCATGGATATGCTCCTGATTATTTTTCCTTACGTGTCTTTAGTTCTACCTGATTTGTCATTCGACCTCATGCCGAGAGTAGTAAATTATCATCTATATCTGTTATATGTATCTTTTTGGGTTATGGTGCAGGGCAAAAGGGATGTCGATGTTTGGATCCAATTAGTCAAAAAGTATATGTCTTTCGTCATGTCGTTTTCTTTACTATCCCTCCTAGTTCTCATAACATGACTAAGTCTGTTCTTATTCACATTGATCCACTTGCTGTTAAAATTGTCCTACCTCTTCTTCTACACATATGTACTCTCACTTGAGATCATGATTCTTGCAAGGTTCTCATTGATAGTTCTACAGATAATGGTCATTTGGCTCCTAACACTTCAATTGTTTCCTCTCCTCCTATGGCTGCCCAACACCTCATGAGACCGGGGCTCCTTCTCCTCGTTAGCCTACGCGTACTCGTAAGTCTTCTCGAATACTAGACTTTGCTTACTCTTGTTACTATGGTTCTTTCATTTCCTTTTTAGCTTCTATTTATTGTCTTTCTGAACTTTTGTCCTATAGATAGGCAGTTTGAAATCCACTTTGGCAAGTTATGGCTGAGGAACTTATTGCTCTGCATCAGATACATACTTGGGACTTGGTATTTCTACCACTAGGAAAATGAGCAATTAGTTCTCATTGGGTCTATAAAATGAAAACCAAGTCAAGTGGATCTGTTGAAAGATAAAAGGCCCGATTAGTTGCAAAAGAGTATTCTCAAGAGTATGGTATAGATTATGAGGAAACTTTTGCACATTTTGCAAAGATGACTATTGTTCGCACTTTTATTACAGTTGCTTCTATTTGTCGATGAAGTATATCTCAGATGGATGTTAAAATTGCATTCTTGAATGGAGATCTATAGGAAAAAGTCTATATAGTTCTCCTCTTGGTGTTTCTCCTCAACCTGGTGAAGTTTGCAAACTTCGAAAAGCTCTCTCGATCTCAATCAGGCACCTCGAGCTTAGTTTGAGAAGTTTTCCACTGTGATTACTTCACTTGATTTCCATCCTAGCCATCATGATGCAGCCCTAATTTATATATGTATAGCCGTCGATCGTCTTTTGCTCTCTCTATATGTTGACAACATGATTATTACTGGTGATGATATTGATGGTATTACAGAATTAAAGTTAGAGTTAACTCATTGCTTTGCACTGAAATATTTCACTCTGTTATTTTCTGGGTATTGAAGTTACATCCTCTCCGATAGGTTATCTTCTTTCTCAGTCCAGGTACATAGCAGATATATTGAGTGTGCTCGTCTTACTGATAATAAGACCGTTGATACGCCTCTTGAGCTTAATGCTCGATATTCTTCTTCTGATGGTTCTCCATTATCTAATCCTAGTTTATATCGTTCTGTTACTGGTAGTTTGGTTTATCTTACTATCACTTGTCCAGATATTGCACATCTTGTTCATATTATTAGTCAGTTCGTTACTTTGCCTACTACAGTTCATTGGGTTGTTGTTCTTCGCATTTTGAGGTATCTTCGTGGCACTCAGTTTCAGAGTCTTTTTCTTTCATCTACTTCATCACTAACATTGCGAGCATATTCTAATGTAGATTGGGCTAGTGATTCTACAAATCGTCAGTCTACCACTGGCTTTTGTATCTTTCTTGGAGATTCTCTTATTTCTTGGAAGAGCAAGAAGCTGGATATTATTTCTAGATCTTCCATGGAAGCAGAGTATCGTACCATAGCTTCTACTGCTTGTGAGATAGTTTAGTTATGCTGGTTACTTGTAGATGTGGGTGTACTTCTTCGCCAACCCACTCCATTGTATTGTGACAATAAGAGTGAAATTCAAATTGTGTGCAATTCGATATTCCATGATAGACCCAAACATATTGAAATTGATTGTCATGCCACTCGACATCATTATCAGCTTGGCACTATAACATTACATTTTGTTCCTTCAACCATGCAGATTGATGACTTATTTACAAAGTCACATTCTACTACATCCTTATCAGCTCTGCACTATCACATTACCTTTTGTTCCTCCCACCATGCAGATTGCTCACTTATTTACAAAGTCACATTCTATTTCGCGATTTCGTTTTTTGTTTGGCAAACTCTCGATACTTCTTACAACAGCATCATGAGTTTGTGGGTAGATATTAAATATATTGGTTTTATTTTATCTTAAGGGTAGATTAGTCATTTTACGTATATCAGTATTTAAAAGTGAGTTTTCTTGTAATTTTATTTATTCAGTTTATCATAAAAAAAAAAAAAAACCCTAGCCTTCTTTTGTTTTCTTCTCTATATTTTTTTTGTATTATTAATTTATCATCAAGTGCATTCTCACTCTAATTAGCGCAATGAGTAACCACATAATTATCTATTAGTACGAGGCGGGACCAGATGTCCACCATTTAGCATTATGTTTATCTAAAAACCTGTTTAAATCATCCCAAACATTTTTCTAACTCGGGCATTGGAGTCTTTTCGATCTCCCTCCATCTCTCTCTTCCCTTCCTTCTATATACATGTCTGGGGTGGCTGTTTGCCACGCTACTTCCTTACTAGCAAAATCAGTATGACAAATTACTTCAGCTTGTTGTTTAATAATTTTTGAGCAACTACTTTTTATACAATTTGCCTATATTTGGGTAAAATTATTTAGTAACTTAGAAGGAGGATTAATAGTAAATCCCGTGAAATGTGTAGATAATAAATGGATAATAGTAATAAATGTGGTTAAAATTAATAATTTGATTTTACTGAAAATTATAAGTTACTAATAATTTTAGCCAAAACTGAGGCAAATAGTATGAACCATATTACTTATTTTTGAGAGCTTATTTTCTACCTTTTGGCTAAAATAAGCTTGCTATTTTTTTAAGACCAACGTGTCTAGTATCTAGCCATGTTTGGAACTTGTAAGCCACCCCAAACATGCTAGTGAATTACAACATTGTCTGCTTAGAAAACCTAAAGTTCAAATCATCATAAAAAAATAAAATAAAATAAGCCAAATAGTATGAACCCTGGAAGATTATTTGAAATTCTATTTTAAGTTGAATTAAGAATTCTATTTGGAATGTTATTTGAAATCCTATTCGAAGTCTATTTGGCAAATTCTAGTTGAAATTCTATTTAGAAGCCCAATTAGGACTTTGGATTTTGTATTAGATTTGAAGAGGTCAAGACATGGATCAGGGAAAAAATTTCGATGCTTTTCCGCTAGCTGGCCGCTAGCCTACCACTCGAGCAATGCCGTTGAAAATTTGTGCAGAGAGCTGGCGCTAGCCTAGCCCTCAAGCGTCGGCTTGTCAAGTCTAGGCCCATTTTCGTTTTTGACACGTTTTAAGAATCATTTTAATCTATAACTCTACTTTTAAGGCTTGAAATATCCCCTATATATATTTAGCTATTTATTATATTTTAGATTAAGTTAGACGAAGTTGTAAACACAATATCTTTGTATTATTTATCCATATTATAGTAAATTCTTATTTCCTCTACCAATTATTGAGTTCATGTTGTTGTGATCAATTATTTCATATTGTGCCATATTTTTTCCAGCCTATTATTACAACAAATCAGTGTCATAGAAATCTAGTATCCATTTTATTCCTTACAATAAATAGCAATTGCAGTATCTGCAAAGTACATCTAAAGTTCTAAATCATAATAAAAATGGGACAGCAAAATTAGAAATTATTTCAACAAAACATGAATAAGAGTTCCAAGACAAACCTCTCTCGAGTATTTCCCCCTTTTGCATGCAGAATCTGAAATTTTGTTCGTTGTAACGTTGACAATACTAAAAAAAAAAAAACTGAAGTTTCGTTCGTCGTACTGTCTTCCAATTTTGTTTAGCGCTTATTGACTACCAAACTGTGCACTGTCTTCTCTTGTTAGCTTGTTTAGGATAGTTGTAATAAGAAAATCCATCTTTTGTTCTCTTGTTTCCTCTCTAATCCTCCTTTGTTCTTCTCTCTCTCTCCATCTACTGTCCATCATTATTCTCTCATTTTCCAAATCTTCCATTGTTTGTCTCCACTCCATCTCCTTTATCCTTCTCTCCTCTTCTCTTTCCTCGTAGGCTTTAATCCACTGATTCTCCATTTGCATTTGTTGCTTCATGAATTTCTCCATGATTTCTTTTATATTAGTTATAATCAACTTTCCAGTACTGCTTGAAGAACCACTTGGGTTTTCATTGCCTTTAATCTTTCTCTTCTTCTTTGCCCCATCGCTATCGTTTTCTGTATCTGAAGAATTTTCTTGGATTGCTTTCTTCTTAGAATTTGGCCCGCCTTCTGCCTCAAACCGTACCATTCTTTGCACCCTTGCAACAAATATAGCATGAATTTCATTGTAGAATGGAAACTGTTGCCTCATATCTTCGGCTTCCATGGTTTCATATCCCTAAATGTTTAAAACGTAATTTAAGTAATTACATTCTAGACGTATTAATTCAATTTAGTAATAGAATATGCAGAGATCCAAAGTTCAAGCCACCTATCGATACTAAAATTATGCATGTGCAACAAATTTGATTCTTCAAAAAAAAAAAAGAATCAAACATGCACGCAAGGTGATTGTTGAAAACGTAATTACATATATAATCCTATGTTTGGCTCATGTTTATTATAAACACTCAAGTCGCTTTTTATACACATGTTTCGAAGAATTTACAGGTACTACGCACTTATTCATCGTTATTTTCTATCTATTTTTAATTTAAATCATTTATAAACACTCTCGGAACGTGCTCTTGTAAGTTTGTCATCTCTAGCTTAAGCTTCCACCTAAGAGGTGATTTAGGGTTTTAATATATTTGCATTTAATTTGTAAATCCCATTACATGAAAATTAGCTATTAATAACTTTAAATTATTGAGAAAAAAGGGGAGGCAAACTGAGAATTAAACTATGAGAAATTAATTTGAGTATTAACAAATTTATCTGAGAAAGAAAAATCTGAAAAACTTCTATTTTTCGACTGTTGTATGTATATGCGTCTATATATAAATATATGTCTGTACCTTATATCGAGTAACTAGGTTTTTCCACTTGCACTTGCACTGCTCAGGGCTTTTATTGTAACCTTTTTCTTTCATTTTCATGGAAATCAATTCCCACAAAAGCTTGTTGCGTTTGGTTTTCATGAAGTTTGGGTCGAGCTCACCACGAATCATCAAGAAATTCAGGGTTTCTTGAACACTCCATTGAGGGAAACTGTCGCCGCCTCCACCTCCGCCATCGCCAGTAGCGGTGGCAGTATCTATATTCCCGGTGTAGTGATGATGATATTGTGGATAACCCTCCATTTAGAAGGAATTTAATTAACAGAATCTGCTGGAAGTCGAAGGGTTTATATGAAAAGAGGACGGTGTGAAAATAAGCTGTAAATTCGGGATTTTTCAAAGGAAAAGAATGATTTCATTGCTTAGGTGTCAGTGATAGGGTTTCATCTGTCTTCTTCATGCAGAGTCTGATCTCTTTACGCGGAAACTGATTTCTCTCTCCAAATATCTGTGTATTGTTTGTATTTGAACATCCACATTTGTTCATATTGCGTTTCCCTTTCGTCATGCTTACCAGGAAGAAGGGAGGTGGGGCTTTAATCCCTGTGACCGGTTGAATATAATTTACTTGCTGGACAAGGTTTTTATTCTTTTGAGTTGGGGAAAATTGCACAAAAAGTCCCAAACCTAAGGGATTCGTGCGAAATCAGTCTAGATTTCGTACTTTTTGTGCAAAAATAGTCCTTGCAGCCGGATTAGTTATATTGACATAAAAGAATTTTTCTCATGTTTGGTATAGATTCTTTAAAATTTATTTTTTTTCAAACTCATTTTCAATCACATATTTTTTCTATAAAATAGTTCTGTACGTGAATCCAAATTTTTTTTCTAATACTTAACCACACATTCTCCAAAATAATTAATTTTCCCAAAATCTATTCTCACAAAATCTAGATCAAACTGCCCCCTTTACATTTTTCCATTCTTGAAGTTTACTTAATTTACAAATCTTTGAATGAATAATGCTATATATCATTACTGTTGATTACTAGCATATGCAGCAGTACGATTATAGTCACTTTTTCCTGTTATAATAAAAGCATATTTCGTCTACATTGAATATTGCAGCAGTGACCCCTCTAGTCCAAGAGTTTGGAACCGCACCCCTTGGCCTAGATCGTGAAAGATGTGCAGAAATTGATTAAGAATGAGAGGATGAAGACTGTGGTTAACCGTTGACCCTTCACTGGTGGCTAAATTCATGGTTATTTCGTGTGGTTGTTTGCTCAATAATTTTGAGTCGTGATGCTTGTTAAAGGATAAAATTTCACATCGAATAAAGATGTAAACATAAATCAACTTATAAAAGATTGGGTTACTACTCTAATAAGGTTGACATTTTAAGATGAAATTTCAATTTTTAACATGGTATCAGAATCCATTAAACTCTAACGAGTAATTTGATCCGGTTAAGACTCCAAAAGTGAGCATACGGATTTCAAGATTGGTCTACTCAAACGAGCCACCATCTTGTGGGGACATGTTAAGAGATAGAATCTCACATCGAATAAAGATGTAAACATAAACTAACTCATAAAGGATTTGGTTACTCCTCTTAATAAGGTTGACCTTTTAAGATGGAATCTCAATTATTAACAATGCTTAATTTTCCATTGTGGTTTGTGGCGGTAAGATGGGGTTAGAAAGGGTGGGGAACGTAGCATGGTCGAAAAAGATGTCTTATCTCGTATTCTCTGTTACGTGTAAATTTTCGAATGATCTCGTGAATATGAATATTCATAATTTTTTTTCTCATTTCTTCATAAATTTGAAATATCTGATTCAAATGAGAAAAACTTAATTACATGATATGTCAATACTAAAAATTACAAAGAAATAATGATAATATAATAGACAAAGCTAACTTCTACGAGGTAATAGAATAAGAAAATTGCATATCCTTGGAGCGGAAAAAAAAATTATTTTTAAAAAATTGTTCAATAGTTTATTGTTACATGACACAATGTAAAATGTAATATAGAGAATAATATAAGCGAGAAATTCTTTTGCATGGATCTGCAAATTACCGGGAAACAACTCCAGTACGCGGCAGTCTATCATGCCCCACGTGTAGCCGCCAACCTTGTCAATGCACGTGGCATGGAAGGACCCACAGGACACGGATGTCTGGGACCCGCATCTTGCTTGTTCACACGGTAGCCGACAGCATAAATATACCTAAGAGTGACGGCTTGCAGAACCCTGATTTGATATTGGTGTTTGGTGGACCAGGTGCACCAGAAAAAGACAGTGGACTAGTGGAGGTATAGAATTTGATTGGAAATGGTTGAGTACGATTTTTTTTTTTTTCTTTTTTGTGTTTGGGAAGATAAATATTATAGTGGAGGTTCCCAAATTTATGAGCATTGTATAAAGTTGGTCCCAAACCTTTTGGTGATTGCTAATACGTCGTTTGGGGGTGCAACAATGGCTCGGTTTTGGACTATTCAAGTTCCATTTGAGATAGTCATGGACTGAGCTAGCCACTCTTTTTCACGAATCCAGTGAGCTCGACTCTTAAAATCCCAACCCAGCTCGTAGATGGCTAGAATTGGCTGATGAGACCCACGATCAAGAGACTGGAGAAAGAGACAAATAATTGAGGCGAATCTAACTCTCCAACGAGCCAGGACAAGACTTGAACCTTGTTCTTACATGACCTGATCAATTCGATCAGACACTCGCCATTTATTTTGATTGTTCAAATTTTAGGAACTACGAGATCATCCCAAGGGCACCTTTGGCATCCAGGGGGTCTACTCGAATTTGGGGGTTCAGGGTCGAATGTCGAATCGAGTCTAATTTGGGAACATGAGCACAGATTGGGTATCTAAGCTGAGCTGAGCTAACTCGATTCCACCCATTATCACGCTTATATGTCATGTAATTTTTTGAGTCTGTAACACATTGATTCTCATTGAGCGAAATTTCAGGGTCAGTCTAGACTATAGGCGGCATTAATTGTTGCTTAAAGCCATCTCGCGTAGGTGAGAGACCCTCTATAATACTAATACTTTTAATACTTATGTATGTAATGTGTGTATATGTATTTATAAATGGCCTTGTACAAAGTTTAAGGTCTTCAAACTTACAGGCCCGGCCCTGAGGCGAGGCGAATGAGGCCGCCGCCTCAGGCCCAAGCGTGGAGGGGGCCTAATTTTTTGCCCAAATTTTTTTTTTTTTTTATATGAGACAAGGCCCAAATTTGGAGGCCCAATGGTAACCTTACTAACCTAAGGTCCTAAACTACTAAACACTCACCGTCTCACCGAATCACTCAACGTCTTGACCCCTCTCTCCTTCCCGCTCTCAATCTCCAAAAATATTTAACTCTCCAACTCCAACTCTCCAAGAATCCACCGACCACCAATCAACTGCTCTTCAAGCCGACGTCGGAGTGGTGTTTACCGGAGTGCAGACGTCCAGTGCAGCCTGTGCAATCTCCCTTTAGTTTTCCAACTGGCATGTGTCTTCTGGAGTTCTGCAACTTCTGCTGGACCGCTGGTAAGTGAGCGATTGGCCGCTGGCCGCGTAGTTGAGTATCAATTTTGTGGCTTTTGTTTCATTATCTAATTCAGTTTTGAGGCTATTGTGATTTCGATTTATCTAATTTCAGTTTTGAGCTGCTTCACTGCTTGTCTAATTTCAGTTTTGGCGAGTTTGTGATTTGTCTAATTTCAATTTGTATGAATGGGTTTCTAATTTCAGTTTTGTGGCTTTTGTGATTTGAATCCGAAATGAAATGCTGGCAGTCCTCAGTTCCTCAGCTTCTGCTGCTGATTTATGGGTTTCTCAGAATGTCTCAAAATATATGGTTAAAGGGGGTGTTGATATCAAGTATGTTGCGTTTCTCTCTCTTTATTATTATCATTTATTTTATTGCTTGAATTTCTAACTGTGGTGTATTTTTAATTTTTACTTCGATGCTTGGTTTAGTTTCTTGTACCTTTTTTGGTTATAAAGTTCAGTTTATTGTGTTTTTAAAAATTTTATGTTTTTTTCCAAGAATTTTGGGTATTAGTTAGTATATCATGTTTGTGCTCCTTTTATTTTTTTGCTGCTCTGTTTTGTTGGTATATGATACAATCTCTGCAACAAAAGACTGTAATATATGATATTCCTTTTTTAATTTTAATTTTTTTTTTGGGTATGAAATTGTAAAATAGTACAAATTTCTTATTCTTTCTTTGAGGTCGAATCTATCGTGAATGTGCAAACATAATTTTGGTATTCTGTTGGCAGCACATCGATTGTGATCGATTTTTGTTAGAAAAAATGCAAATTGTGGTGATGAGCAAAAGACATTTGAAGAAGATTTACATTATACTAACCTTATTTTGTTTTGTAAAAGCTTTACTGTTCTGAATGATTTGAACATGATTCAATTTCAAGTTTGTGAGAACTAAGATGCAACACTGGATGCTGGAATAAGCATGATTCCACAATTTTCGTGAATTTTCTACTTCTCAAGTAAGCAATAGCTTGCTCTAACTTGATATTGAAAATGTTTGAAACCTTGTCGGCTTATATAATTGTGGCCTGGTCGGCTTGTATGAATGTTCATTGTAGCATGTAGGATCAATTGCATAGGCGCACGTAGTCACTGTATTGAATACTTTAATTATGAGATGATTGAGATATTTTGTAATTGTCTTTTATGCTAATTATTGGGCATTAGATATATTATATATACATATATAATATATATAAATCTTTTGTTCTTTATATTTATTTGTTGTTCTACTCTTCATTGTTAAGTTAGTAATACGTTGCATAATGCACGGTTAGATTTTACGTTTACGTTGATATCCGAGGGCCCAATTTTCAGAGTTCGCCTCGGACCCCGAAGATCACAGGACCGGCACTGCAAACTTACAAAGTCGGTCGGACAAATTTGTTATTGTATGGATTATGAACAGGTTTTTGCGTTAGATTAAAATGGTAGAACAATCTGTTAAGAAAAAAAACTGTAATATTTAGTACATTTTTAGCAAAATAATATCAACTTATGAGCAACTAGTGTTGACTTTTGAAAGACAGAACCATAATTATACTCACACCATATATTTTTTTAATTACAGATATTTTCGGGAGATCGTACCAAAAAATAAAAATTGGTTCACTTTGCAATAATCATCTATGTGGTCATTGTGTCGCTTATCATCCATTTGTTTGGTCAAATATGCATGTGTTTCACAAATGACATTATTCAAAAGGTAAAAATGTTAGTCCACTTAACATTT